GACCTATGGTCAGCTGATCTTTGACAAAGGCCCAAAATCATTAAATGGGGAAGAGAATGTTTAATAAATGGTGCTGGCAAAACTGGAGATCCATTTGCAGAAAAATCAAACAAGACCTGTACCTCACACCATACACAAAAACGAACTCCAGATGGATCAAAGACTTAAATGTGAAACCCAAAACTGGAGAGTTCCTCCAGGTAAAACTAGGGGCAAATTTAGGGTCCCCAATATACGGCATAAATAGACTATCAAGTATAACTCAAAATGCACAAACAGCAGAAGAGAAATCAGATGATTGGGACCTTCTAAAAATTAAATTTTTGTGTGCTTCCAGAGACTTCTTCAAAAGAGTCAAAAGAGAACCTACAGATTGGGAAAAAATATTTGGTAATGACATATCTGACAAGGACTTATCTCTAGAATTTGTAGAACACTCCAACACCTCAATAACAAAAAGACAAACAATCCATTAAAAAATGAGCAGAAGACATGAATAGACAGTTCACCAAGGAGGATATTCAAGCGGCCAACAAACATATGAAGAAATGCTCACAATCACTGGCTATTAGAGAGATGCAAATCAAAACAATGAGATACCATCTTGCTCCAGCACTAGTAGCAAAGTTTAATGACACAGAAAATAACAAATGCTGGTGAGGATGTGGAGAAATTGGGACTCTCATACACTGCTGGTGGGACTGTGAAATGGTACGACCATTATGGAAAGCAGTATGGCTGTTCCTTCAAAAGTTAGAACTAGAAATACCATTTGACCTAGCTATTCCTTACTAGGTATATACCCTAAAGAAGTGAGAGGCATGACAAGAACAGACATATGCACATCCATGTTCATCGCAGAACTATTTACAACAGCCAAAAGATGGAAACAACCGAGGTGTACATCAACTGAGGAATGGATAACCAAACTATGGTACATACACACAATGGAATACTATGCAACCCTAAAGAATAACGTAGAATCTGCAAAACACTGCATAATGTGGATGAACTTGGAGGACATTATGCTGAGTGAAATAAGTCAATCACGAAAGGACAAATATTGTATTAGTCTGTTATTGTAAAAGTCAAGGAAACATTTATCTATGGAAGGTCATTTTCTTTGTTGGTTACCAGGGGTGGGAGGGGAGGGGAGGGAATACTGTTAGATAGATAGAGATAAGTTTTGATTTGGGTGAAGAAAAGGGCAATGTACCAAATGTGAGTGACCAATATAGTGGCATTGAGGAAGAGAAAGACATAGAGAGGTATGTGGGAAGTACAGACAACAAAGATGAACCCTTTTGCGCATATAGTATGGTGTGGTCAGTGAAGGCAAACACGGGTATATGGGTGGATAGATGGGTGGACAGGCTAAAATATTAGATATGTATATGAAGTGGAGAGTGCACCCAAGAACATGTATAGGGTGGCAGACAGTGGTCCAATGACTTTATGTGTATGATCTGAATTCCCAGGTGTATAATGGGGCTGACAAGGGGCAAGGTTGTAGTCACTGCTTGGTCACAGCCAGCTACCCAGAGGGATCGAGTAGTTGAACCTGTGGGCTTGGGACCATAGTCACAGGGGACATCAAGCTCAATTGGCATAGCGTACTACACAAAACATTGTTCTACCTCCTACTGTGGCGAGTAATGACTGGGATCTTAAAAGCTTGCAAGCTGCCATCTAGATGCAACGATGGGTCTCTCCTCGTCCAGAGCCAAAAAGAATGAAGAAAATCAAAAATTCCTGGAAACAATTAGTCCTAGCGACTGGTACACCATCCGATCTGCAGCCTATACGACTATGAGACCAGAATAAATAGATGGTGCTCGGCTACTACCGTTCACCACTTGGAAGAGGATCTTTGTAGGAGATCCTGGATAGACAGGGAGAACAGTGTGGAACAAAACTCAAAATCATTTTGAAAAAAAAAAAAAGAAAAAGCAGGGAACAGGTTTGTTGGCCCGATGGAGCCTGGTGGAACCACTGAGACTATGGCCCTTAGCTGCCCTTCAGGTCTGGAATTGAACGCACACCTGTGGCTTCCAGCCAAACAATAGACAGGCATATCAGTTGAGCATTTACCTGAGGTAGATTTACTCCTTGGAAAGAACAAGCAGGAGAGAAATAAGGACTGCTCAGGCACAGGGAGACACTTTAGGGGTAGGAGTGCATGGAGGGATGGACACAGGGAAGAGGTAACTATCGGGAGGAAGTGGGAGAGGAGATTTTGCATTGTGCTAAATTGTGGTCAATGTCATGAGACAAAGTGTATGTGAACTGCTGTATGGAAAGTGTATTTGCTCTGTAAATTTTCACCCAAATCACAATTAAAAAAAAAAAAAAGATTTACAACTTAGAAACCCAGTGGAGATTGCTGTGAGTTGGAATTGACTCTATGGCAGTGAGTTTGGTTTTGATTTGGTAGAGGGTTCCATGAGGGTCAGGTTTGTCTGTATATATAAAGACTGGGAATGATGTTCAGCCAGCACACAGCAAGCTCTCAGTAACTGGTTCATGAGTCCAGATAGATCCAATAGAACTTTGTGCAATGACAAGAATGTTCTATATCTGCTCTGCCTGGCACGCTGATGAGGCCTTGAAATCAGGCTAGTATAACTGAGGGATTTTAATTCATTTAAACAGCTATATGTGGCTAGTGGCTATTCAGTGCAAGTCTAGGGGTATCATAATTATGTAGTTTTTAATATGGTTCTCAGTCTCTGGGTGGTACAAATGGTTAATGTGAGTGGCTAACAGAAAAGTTAGTAGTTTGAGTCTACCCAGAGGTGCCTCGAAAGAAAGTCCTGGCCATTTACGTCTTAAAAATCAGCCATTAAAAACCCTCTGGAGCACGGTTTTACTCTGACACACGTGGGATCACCATGAATCAAAAGGGACTCAACAGCAACTGGTTTAATGCAGCTCTCAGTAAAGACCAAGAAGACAGCCTTGGTATGATGAGTGACAAAGCATTACAAATGGTTTGTGTCACAGACAACATTTCAGATGTAGAGGGTAATACCTAAAACAAAGTATATTGACCTTTAAATGGTCTGCCATTTTTGAGAGTCTTTCAAGGAGTGGGTATGGCTTCCTGGTAAGTATGTGTAGGACTGTGGCCATGGAAGTCAATCAGACCTGTTCTTACTTGTCTTTGCTTCTTACTGGCTATGTGACCTTGGTCACCTTGCTTAACAGTTTTGAGTCCCAGTGTTTTCTTCTGTAAAATGGAAGTAATGCTACTCCCTGGCTGCCTGTCAGGACTGGAGTGTGGATTGCACCTGCAGAGTGCCTTATGGCTAGTCTGTGCTTGATAAATTGGAGTGCCTGTGACTTTTCAGGTAAAGATGGAATGTCAGAATTAGATATATAAGCACTGTCACTCGCTACTAATTCGGTTGGAAAATTACTGTTTTATCTCCATCTGATACTAGAGATGCTGACCTGATTGTTACGTTGGTAAATGGGTGTTTTTTTGTTTGTTTTTGACTTTCAAACATTTAAAATAATTAGGCTCCATGGAGCTAAAGGTGCAAGAAAACTATGAGATGATCACTTTATGTTTTGTAACTCAGGCAAGAACAAAGTGACCTGCGATAGTGGTCTTAGGTTCTCACCCCTTCATGTTGTATGCACATGTTTGCCATTCAGGCCCTAGTTACACGTTGTGCTTTCTGCAGAGATTCTATACTCAGAAATTGGTATGATAAGATTTTATTAAAGAGGAGGGAGGTGAGTTTTTTGGTACCAACCATGAGTAGCCTGATTTCTTGAAATAAATGACAAAAAAAAACAGTAAAGCTCATTTATACTTAGAAGCTCTGACTTCATTGTTGCCTTCTGTCTTTCCTCTCCTAGATGTGACATTTGCTGTGTCACCTTTCGAACACATCGAGGATTGCTACGCCACAACGCACTTGTCCACAAACAGCTTCCGAGAGATGCGATGGGGAGGCCATTCATACAGAACAACCCTTTAATTCCTGCTGGCTTCCATGACTTGGGATTCACTGACTTCTCCTGTAGAAAGTTCCCCCGAATTTCTCAGGTATTTCTGAGCCCTCAACTAGCTCCCCAGTCCATGTCCTGGCATTGAGCTTCCTCTCTTTGAGGGCTTCCTTTCCTTGATATGTCTGTTCACTTTTGTGTTTTCTCTTACAATTCAGCTTCATCCTTCTAGCTTTCATTTGGTCATTGGGTAGAGAGGGGTGAGTGGTCTTTTATTTTGTGTTGAATCTCATGTCATTGTGGATGTGAGGTTGGCTCACCATTGCCTTTTGCGTGTCCTTGGGGATTTTCAGTTTAAAGTTGTACATTTTTTACTATCATCACTCCATCCTTATGTTAGCTTGAATTTGTCATTTTTAATCTCATCCTTAATATCTTCATTTAAAAAAAAAAACTTTGCTGTCGAGTCCATTCCAACTCATGACAGCCCTGTGTGTTACAGAGTAGAGCTGTACCATGGGGTTCTCTTGTTTGTCATTTTTAGGGACGCAGTTTGCCAGGACCTTCTTCCACAGTGCTGCTATGTGGTTTCAAACCACTAACCCCTTTCAGATCGTAGCTGAGTACACACCACTTGAACTATACAGGGACCTTAATATTTGCATTACAGCTAGATACAGCCAGCATCGTCATTTCTATTAAAAATGATTCAGGTCATCATTGACCCGAACAAGAAGAGAGCTGCATTTGTTCTTTACTTATAAAGCAACTACTAATGCTACTTTAAAGGCACTCTGGTTATACAATGCCTTCAGGTTAGCAGTTCAAACCTACCTAGCTGCTCTACAGAACGAATATGGGGCAATCTACTTCCATAAAGATTCACCACATTGAACACCCAGTGGAGGTTGCTATGAGTCGGAATCAGCTCGATGGCAGTGGGTTTGGAAAGCTACTTTGAGGCTATTTTTCCCCTATATTTCAAAAATTGAGATGTAAGATATCAGTAGTAAAGTTCTTCAGGTGCACATGTCTCAAGCTCAGTGGATTATTACATATGTGTACATCTGTGTGACTACCCGGATGATGATATAGAACATCCCAGTGCCTGGAAGGCTCCCTGGTGCCTCTTCTAGGCACTTCTCTCTCTACAACCACAGAGGTAGCTGTTTTTCAGATCTCTGTCACTATCACTTAGTTTTGCAAGGTACTTATTTTTAAAAAGAGAATACCTTACGGGATTATTACTGAACTGTGGTTCATTGCTTTCCTGATGAGAGCCCCTGGGGATTAATGTTTCACATCAAACAAATGTGACCTTTTTCTTTTAACATTTTGATTAAAATATGTATAACAAAACATTTGCCAATTCAGCATTTTTTAAGTGCCCAGTTTAGTAACACTGATTACTTTCACATGTTGTACATCCATCACCACCATCAATTTCTAAATTTTTTTACCACCCTTAACAGAAACTGGGTCTCCTAAGCAGTAACTCCCCACCCCACCCACCCCACAGATAAACTCTGGTTTCTATACACTTCCCTGTGGAAGATATTTCATATAAGAGGGATCACACAATATTTGTCCTTTGGTGGCTGATTTATTTCTCTCAGCATAAGCAAATGTGATATTTTAAATGCTTTGTGACTTTACTTACCCCACCTGGGGATTAGCAAGTAGGGGAGATCTACTCCTTATATGTAGTAGAAGGAGGTTAGATACCGGGATGGTGGTGAGATATTTTCTACACCTGAGTTTTGTGAAGTTTTGTGAAGTTTAATGCACTCCTTTATCCTGGGATCTGGTGCAGGCCTGGTGTGAAGCAAACCTGCGGCGGTGCATCAGCGAGCAGCACCGCTTTGTCTGCGAGACCTGCGACAAGGCATTCCCCATGCCCCTCTCACTCGCCCTGCATCGGCAGACCCACAGCACCGGGGACCCGGGGCAGGAGAAACCACAGACCAAGCCCCTGGGTGAGGACACACTCGACCAGAAGGTCTTCCTGGCCTTGCTGGGCCTGCAGCACACCAAAGACATGAAGCCCACCCTCGCCGAGGAGCCACCGCCAGACGACAACCAAGCCATCCAGCTTGAGACACTCAGGTGCCAGCTACCTCAGGAGCCCGCCTGCACCAGCCTGCTGAGTCTATCCCCCTTTGAGGCCACCTCCCTTGGAGGCCAGCTAGCTGTCCTCCCAGCTACCAAGGAGAGCATGAAGCATCTGTCTCTGCAGCCCTTCCAGAAGGGTTTCATCATCCAGCCGGACAGCAGTATTGTGGTCAAACCCATCTCCAGTGAGTCAGCCATCGAGCTGGCCGACATCCAACAGATCCTGAAGATGGCCTCCTCAGCGCCCCCCCAGATCAGTCTTCCACCCCTCTCCAAGGCCCCAGCCACCCCCATGCAGGCCATCTTCAAGCACATGCCCCCACTGAAGCCAAAGCCCCTGGTTACACCGCGCACAGTGGTGGCCACCTCTACACCTCCACCCCTTGTCAACGCCCAGCAGGCCTCCCCTGGCTGCATCAGCCCCAGCCTGCCCCCTCCGCCACTCAAGCTGCTTAAGGGCTCAGTGGAGGCCGCCTCCAATGTCCACCTGCTGCAATCCAAGTCTGGGGCCCAGCCCAACGCCTCCACCCAGCTCTTCCTGCAGCCTCGGGTAGAGCTGCCAGGCCAGCCTGAGATTAAGGCACAGCTGGAGCAGGACAGCATCATTGAGGCATTGTTGCCCCTGAACATGGAGGCCAAGATCAAGCAAGAGATCACAGAAGGCGACCTCAAGGCCCTCATGGCAGGGCCCGCCAGCAAGAAGGCACCCACCATGCGCAAGGTCCTATACCCCTGCCGCTTCTGTAACCAGGTGTTTGCCTTCTCAGGAGTGCTGCGCGCCCACGTGCGGTCGCACCTGGGCATCTCACCCTACCAGTGCAACATCTGTGACTACATTGCTGCCGACAAGGCTGCCCTCATCCGCCACCTACGCACACACAGTGGGGAGCGGCCCTACATCTGCAAGATTTGCCACTACCCCTTCACTGTTAAGGCCAATTGTGAGCGGCACCTACGCAAGAAGCACCTCAAGGCCACCCGCAAGGACATTGAGAAGAACATTGAATATGTGACCAGCAGTGCCGCGGAGATGGTCGACGCCTTCTGTGCCCCAGACACGGTGTGCCGGCTTTGTGGTGAGGACCTGAAGCACTACCGGGCGCTGCGCATACACATGCGAACGCACTGTGGCCGTGGCCTGGGTGGCTGCCAGAAGGGTCGCAAACCATTTGAGTGCAAGGAGTGCAATTCAGCCTTCGCAGCCAAGCGCAACTGCATCCACCACATCCTTAAGCAGCACCTGCACGTGCCAGAGCATGAGATCGAGAACTATGTCCTGGCCTCAGATGGCAGTGGGGGTCCTGCTGACGGGCCAGCTGCAGAAGCTGCCAGCATGGTGGAGGACAGCAGCTGTGGTGACTTTGCAGACCGCAAGCCCATTGCAGCCTTCTTGGAGCCCCAGAATGGCTTCCTACATGGGGGTCCTACCCCAGCCCCTCATGTCTCTGTCAAGCTGGAGCCTGCCAGTGGCTTTGCAGTGGACTTCAACGAGCCCCTTGACTTCTCCCAGAAGGGCCTGACCCTGGTCCACGTAAAACAGGAAAGCACTGCCTCCTTTCTGAGCCCCTCCTCCCTCACCCCCTACGACTGCTCCATGGAGCCCATTGATCTCTCCATCCCCAAGAACCCAAGGAAAGGAGACAGGGACACACCTGGTCCCAGCGAGGCCAGAAGGACCGAACAGGAGACCCAAGAAGGCGAGCAGCCCCCAGTCTGTCCACCCCCGTGCCCCACTCTGTCAGGGGCATTTGGGCCCAGTGAGGGCCTGGACAAGCCTGCAGCCCCAGGACTGGCCACCTCAACAGCAACCCCCCGGGAGCCCCACGCTCAGGCCCTGCAGGCTCCTGTGCAGCTCGCGGTCCCCATCTACTCTTCAGCCCTCATGAACAGCTCGCCCCTCCTGGCCAACCCCACCCTCCTCAGCAACTCGGCCCTCATCAGTGGGTCAGCCCTGCTGCGGCCACTGCGCCCCAAGCCACCCCTGCTCTTGCCAAAGCCCCCTGTGACTGATGAGCTGCCCCCACTGGCCTCCATCGCCCAGATCATCTCTTCTGTGTCCTCAGCCCCCACCCTGCTGAAGACCAAGGTGGCTGAGCCAGGGCCCACCAGCACCAGCAGTGGCCCCATGGTCCCCGACACTATGGGAGGTGCCATACCCAAAGCTACACCCACCCCTGCTGACACCATAACCCCGCAAGAATCTGAGAACCCACCCCCTGCAGCCACCAGCCCTGAGGCCATCTCTCCCACCGAGCAAGGGCTGGCTGGCACTGCCAAGAAGAGGGGCCGAAAGAAAGGGGTGAGGAACCGGTCCAAGGTCAACAGTGGTGGCGTGGACCTAGACTCGAGTGGGGAGTTCGCCAGTATTGAGAAGATGCTGGCCACCACTGACACCAACAAGTTCAGTCCGTTCCTGCAGAGTGCGGAGGATGACGGGCAGGAGGAGGTATCTGCAGCCCCGGCTGATCCCCATGGGCCCAGTGATGAGGAGCAGGCCAGCCCCCCAGAAGACAAGGGGCTAAGGTCCAGACGGAACTCCTACGCCAACTGCCTGCAGAAGATCAGCTGCCCCCACTGTCCCCGGGTTTTCCCGTGGGCCAGCTCCCTGCAGAGGCATATGCTCACGCACACCGGTAAGACACCACTTTCCAGCAGGGTGTTGCACTGTGCAGGGATGGGGAGACTTGGGGGCTTTTCCCACGGTCCATCCCTACTCTCTCTCTTCCCTGCCTCAGAAGCAGAGGGCTTGCCTGGTGATGCTGTGATTATTCCCTGTGTACTCTTAGTAACTAGGATGATCTTTTAACCAGGTCCTTTACTGGAATGCCCTTTTTGGTTACCAGAATGACCTCTTGTCCTGGGTCTGAGCCCTCCAAGGACAGCTGTTGTTGAATTGAGGCGTTCACTGTGCAGATGTGTTAGTGAAAGTGAGCATAGACCAGGCGGAATCCCTCGCTTCCGTCAGCCCCTTGCCCTCTCCTGAGAAGGGGGTGATAGTCTCTCTCAGGTCACAGCTAAGAGAAGGAGACTTTATATTAAGGCATGGAAACATAGTGAACATGGGACTTAGACAAGCAAAATTTCATCCTGGCGTCCTGAGGGCAGCTCTTCTTCTTTGAACATTGTGTGACGTTATTTGGCAGCTGTGTATTTTTAAAGGGGATATGCACGTGGTGATTCTGGCAACTCATGTCCTGCTCATTAGGGCAGTCGCATCTTGTCAAAGATTGTCAGCTGTTCCAAAGAAACATCCAAATATAAATAATATTCTAAGTAGCAGGCTTAAATTGCCAGAAAGATATCCCATGAGTTTTATGTTAGTTTATATGTTGATTTTTACAGAGAAGTTTAAGATAAGAAATATGCTTTATGTAAGTCTATACCAAATACTTCTAATATTCAAATGATCATACAGCTGTCGTCTTAATTACAGTTCACTTAATAATCATGCAAGATTTTTAACATTGAAGTAAGGATAAGCATGAAATCTTTACCTTTTTAGAGTTTACAACCCAAATATTAACAGATAGAACCAAAAACAGCCAAGAGTTACATGGTACAGGATTGCCAGATAAAATACAGACTGCCCAGTTAAATTTGAATTTTGGATAAATAACAGATGATTTTTAGTATAAGTATTTTCCACACAACATTTGGGATCATAAAAAACCAAAAGCCAAACCCCTTGTCATTGAGTTAATCCTAGCTCATGGCAACCTCATGTGATAACAGAGTAGATCTCCTCCCTAGGGTTTTCCTGGCTGCAGGGTGCAGAAGCAGGTCACTGGGCCTTTCTTCCATGATCTGGGATACATATACACCTATACTAGAAAATTACCCATGATTTATCTGAAGTTCAAATTTGAATGGACAGCCTCTATGTTTGCTTACTGTGTCTAGCAACCCCAAGGTTTAGACAGTCTGGTGAGGGGAAAGCAGGGGCGGGGGAATGAGCTGGGCTGTATACCAGGTGGAAACACTGGATCTAGAGTTAATCACCCCTTGAGGCTCTGAAGTAGCTCAGGGAAGGCTGTCTCCTCTAGGCCAAGTAGAACAGCATGAGGAAGGTCACGGGGCTGTCCTTGGGGAGCAGGAACATGTCTAGAGGAGACTTGCGAAGGGAGAGTCCCTGTGAGTTGGGGATAGGAGGGCTGGTGGTCTCCTGAAACTGTACTGGCTGCAAGGATTGCCCTGTGGTTGCTAGCCTTCCCTGCTGGTGGGTGGGCCTTTGAAGGCAGGACTCAGTCAGCAGTGCCAGTCAGTGGAGGGATGCCTTAACCAGAATTTCTAGACTCATAAAGCATATGCTACAGTTGCAGGCCATCATTCCCTTTCCCTTTGAAATCATTTGTGCCTAAGAGAGTAAAATAGTGTTCATTAGAACTCTAATTAGTAGTTTCTATTAGGAGGAAGTGGTTCAGAAAGGAAGACAAGGTTTAAAGAGAAGGTACACCACACTGCAGTCTCTTCTCCCCTTTTAGGTGACATTTGTTTGTCCCAGCACAGCATCTGTGCAGAAGTATTTCTGTGACTGCTCTCAGAAGACAGGTAATCTGGATCTAACTATTAGTCTAGCTGTGGCCCTTCCTCACAGCTTTCCTCTCTCTCTCTGCTGAAGCCAGCCTCTCACTGTCCACCCTCCTTCAGCTCAGAGTCCTGGGCTGGGTAGGTACTGTGCACGGGTTCCTCCAAAGAGGGCGTTAATTCTTTGACGTTATCCTGACTGTGTCCCTAAGCTGAGGGAAGTGGCCAGTGTTTCCTTTCAAGAGCTGTGCCCAGGTCTTTGCAGATGGCTGTTGTAAGTTCGTTCTCATGAGTCCAGCAGTTGAGATTGCCTGGCATTTTTCATCATTAAAACCTGGCAGTGTTGGAGACGGAGGATGGAGGAAGGAGGGAGGTTTCTTCAGAAAGGTAGTGATGCTGTGGGGTGGGTAGATGAAAATACGGAGATACTCTGCTGTGTCTTCCTTCATAGTCACTGATAACCTAAGAGATGTGTACATTTGAGTTTAGCTCATGTCATTCCATCATATGTATTCTTGTAATGAGGACTGTGGGCCTTGACTTGGATGAGAAGAGCATTCATGGTTGGTAGAGAAGCCTTTCAGAGCTAATCTATGAGGATGGTGTTATCCTCATCTTACCAGGAGGAAATTGAGGCTTGGGGAGGCTAACCCACTTAGCCATGATCATGTGAGGAATAAGAGGTAGAGCTAGAATTCAAAGCCAGGCCTGAGCTCCTGGCAGCTTCACCCACGGTCAGGGTGCATGTGGCCTGTGGATCCTCTGTCAAGGTATATAGGGAATGCTTTCATCTTTCTGGCTGTGTTCTGACATGTCCTGCATGCAACAGACTTGAAAGTAGGGTAAGATAAGGTTAAAACAGATCTAAAGCAGAATATTAGTTAGATGCCTAATAATTATTAATCACATGCATAGAAACCATATAAAGGTTTGCACCCACTAGGCTGTGCTCACTTCCTTTGTGCATTTGGATGTCACTGCTTTTACTTCCAAAAAAAACCTCATTATCATCTGTGTTAAATCATGTTAGAAAGCAATTATTCCATGGATGGTGCAGGTGGTCAGTGCACTCAGCTGCTAATCAAAAGGTTGGTAGTTCGAGTCCACCCAGTAGCACCTATGAAGACAGGCATGGCATTCTGCTTCCGAAAAATAAGCCACTCAAAGCCCTATGGAGCACAGTTCTGCTCTGACACACATGGGGTCACCATGAGTCAGGGTCATCTCATCACCCACTGGTCTAATGCACTTGACAATGTTTGGTTTTATGTCGAAACATTTACATTCATTGAGCGTCAGGGTTGGAAGGAACCTAGGAAATCATCTAATGCAGTCTGCCTTGTGTAGACCTAACATTTTCCTGGTGGAACGTTTTATGGTTGGAGCATCTCAGAGCTGAGTATTCCTGCCCCCTAATTCTCTGAGAGATGCTGCTTCTAGAAGCTTTTAAAGAAGACTTAAGGCTTGAGTTTAAACCAAACCTGTTACCGTCAAGCTGATTCCAATTCATGGTGACCCCATGTGTTACAGAATAGAACTGCTCCCTGGGTTTTCTTGGCTGTAATCTTTATAGAAGCAAATCTCCGGGCCTTTTGTTACTGAGGTGACACTGAGTGAGTTTGAACTGCCAACTCTTAGGTTAATAGTTGGACGCAAACTGTGTGCACCACCCAGGGACCGTGGACATATATTTAAGACAGAAATTAAACATTCACTTTGAAATAGCCTTGTCAACAAAGGTGTCATACAAGGAAAAGGTGGTGTTTTTTAATTGTAGTATTAAAATCTAGTTGGGTTCTCCAGTTTAATTGTAGTATTAAAATCTAGTTGGGTTCTGGCCAGAAGCTTTGAGCCGTCTCCAGTTTCAGACTGCATTGAAGGTAAAAGTCTCTATTTTGAAAGTCAGCCTTCTCCTGACCTCTCCACCAATGCTTGGAATCATTGTGGTGTCTCACAAGCATGCTCTCTACCACACCCACCCTCAGAACAGGCAGCAATAGGTAGAGCAGATGAAAGTGTCTAACTAGGGATTCACCTGCTTGCTCAGTGCATGGAGCACACTCTCTCCAAGGTTCCAGGAATAGTGTTTGAATGAGGAAGCTGGCGATCTATTGTCATTCTTTGTATCCCCGGCTGCTCTCTGCTCACACAGCTAAATTTCCTCCTTCTACTCCTTGCCTGTGCCACCTCATTCACTTCCTGTTGACCAGGAACAGTTCCTGGTTCCTTACCTCTTTGCCTGAACAGTGTCAACACTTCAGGAGAGAGAGAGAGAGCCATGCACTGTCCTTTCTGGCTCCTCCCAAGCACGTATGTAGGGCACAGGTGGAGGAGAGAGTGCCAGAACTCAGAGCCAGTGCCTCTCACCCTCTGCTCTTTGCTTCCATCTTCCCCTTCCTCCTCACAAGATGAAAAGTTTGGGACTGTGATGACTAAGAACCTGCCAGTTACCACATTCTGGGATCCCGTTGCCCCCTCACATTTCTCACGGTTTAATTCCCTTCTCTTTGCCAATTTGGAGCTCTCTCCACCCACCAGTCATCAGAGGGAAAATCAATAAGGTTTCCAAACCTCAGTGTGGAAAGCACTTCTGATACCAGTTGTAATTTGGCCACCGTCACCCAGCCCCACATACACCTCTGCCAAGCACGGAAAGACCTGCCCATGAGAGTGAGAACAGTGAGAGGTGTGAGGGTCGGAAGCCACCTCATGTCATTTTTAAAAGGCAATTGCAAGATTTTCCTCCATAATTGTGACCCACTTCTGTAACCCTGAGTCTCCTTGAAAAAAAAGCAAAATGTTAAATACGTGGTCAGTTCTGGTGTTTGGATCTTCTGATGGTCAGTCTGATGGCAAGATCATTGTTTCATCATGATACTTATGTGCATATACATTCTTCTGAGCCTTTTTATTTTGGTAGTAAAGAACAGAATTGACCATTTTAACCATTTTTGAATGTACAATTCAGTGACATTAAGTACATTGACAGTGTTGTGCAACTCTCACCGGTATCTATTTCCAGATTTTGTTCATCACCCCAAACAGAAACTCAGTAGCCCTTAAGCAGCAACTCCCCATTCTTCTCTCCCTCCAGCTCTTGGTGATCTATAATATACTGTCTATATATTTGCCTATTCCAAGTATTTCATATAAGTGGGATCATGTTGCTTAGCCTGACGTCTTCAGGGTTCATCAAGCTTACTGTTCACTATTCTACTGTCTTTCATAACCTATTGTCTATCGGATTATATAGTTGAGTATAAAACTCTGTCTTCATTTCTTGGCTATTCTGTGAGAGTTAGAATTGGCTGACTGATGCCCACAGGGAATGAGTCATAGATTTTTGGAGCAAAGGTAACTCCCTGTGGTTACAGGTACTTTTTAACACCCCTGCCAAAGTAACTGTGCCAGTTACCAAGTTGGTAAAATTGTTTCTTTTTTTTCCTTTTGCAAATATATTTTTAAAATTATTTGTTTCTTTATATAAAGTTCACCCATCAACAAGTTGTTTTGTTTTTTGAGCCTGTAATATTATAAAATACCAAAAGGGCTAATATGTTCATATATCCTTGCAACCCAACGAGCATAATACTGTTTAAAAAATAAGTCCCTTATTTAATGATTGTATCTTAATTGTTGCTGTGGGAACCTCCAGAACCGATAACATTGCTTGGTTGGCATTGTTTTCTGAATTTAGCATTATTAATCTTCATCATAGATGCTCTGATGACACAATGGTTAAGTGCTCAGCTAATAACAAAAGGTGGGCACTTTGAACCAGCCCAGCAGTGCCACAGGAAGAAAGACCTGGAAATCGACTTCCATAAAGATTACAGCCTGTTTGTGATCTTAAATTAAATCCCGTGGGGCAGTTCTGCTCTGTTACAGGGAGTCACTGTGAGTCAAAATCGACACAGTGGCACCTAACAGTAATCTGCATCATGAGACATCAGTCTGTCCAAACCAACCATAAAATGAAGCATTTAGCAGTGTGAGAATTACAGAGTAAATCATGTAATAATGGGAAGCAGTTATTTTCTTAGAAATCAAGAATCCTGTCATAATAACTTCTGTATTGATCTCTTCTCGCTTCTCTCCTGACTCTCTCTCTCTCCAAAAAGTAACGAAACACCCACTGCCATCAAGATGATTCTGATTCATAGCAACTCTATAGTATGGACAGAGTAGAACTAACAGGGTTTTTAAGGCTGTGAAACCTTTGTGGAAGCAGACCACTTCATCTTTCTCCTGCAGAGTCAACCCACCAGCCTTTGGGTTAGGAGCTGAATGCCTTAGCCAGTGTGCCACCAGAGTTCCTCCTCTCCTGCTCAGTCTTCCATTATATGGAAAAGCCCTAATGTTGCCTTTTAATGGTAAAATGTCCAAAGGAAAAGCGATTTTTTTTTTTTTTTGCTTATTTAAAAAGGAGTGAAATGATCATTAAATATGGTGTACAGATTTCAGTAGAAAGGACTAATTGGGAAAATGCACAATAAAGGTTAAAATCTTTTACTGCTAATCATGGAAAAAGCATGATTAATTTTTAAATTCAAGCTATATTTTTTAATTAAAGAAATTTTAAAAGTATCTGTAACAGGAAGCCCCTACATGTTTCTTTCCTTTGTGGAGGGGTAGTTCTTGGGCACAGCAGAGCTTTAGGGTCTGGTCTCTGAGTCTCTGCTTTGTGACTTTTCCCGGTATCTGTATTCTTGAAAAGCCCCACTGGTGACTGGGGAGGAAACACCCCTTCTTTTATGACACTGATAGCAGAACTCAGCAGTGCCGTTGTCTCTCCGTGCTGTGTTGCACAACATTGATTGCACTCCCTGTGAACGATGCCCCCTGGAGTTAGGCAACACAGCTGTGCTAGGCCTGCCCCCCCAGGAAAAAAAAAAAAAAAACCCTTTGGCTAACCTTCAGGCAACAGGCCCTCTCTGCTCGCTGGCCAAGGGCTCTCTGGCTCCTGTGCCTGCTCTCCAGAGCTTGAGCAGACCTCAGTCCCTGGACTCCAAAGTAAGGCTGAAGTGTGTTGGAAGGGAGCTGTGCTGCAGGACTTGGCTACCAGCTCTGAATGATGCCTTTGATGAGGGCGATCCCAAGGTTACCAGACGGAAGTGCTGGGCTCCAGCTCCAGAAGCCTGTGTGTTAATATATAAAACCTGCCCCCTGCAAAACTGAGGAGGAGGACCTTAGAATCTAGTGATTGGGGGTGGGTGGGGGAGAAGAATCAGGGGACAGTAAACAATTAACCATCATCTTCTGTCTCCTGAAGCCCTCCCAGTCCCTTCCCTGCCCCTCTTCCCTTCCACTCCACACTGTGCCCCCTTTGCCCTTGCCATTTTTCCCCCTCACATCCATCCAGACAGGCACAGGCAAATTGAAGGGGAGCCTTGCTTGCATTTTGAAACATTTTGTTTACAGTACAAAAAGAATCCACATAAGAGGCGAGGAAACATAAACTGAGCCAGAGCACTGCGTGTGGGGGCGGGGGTAGGGGTGGTGAGGGAGGTTTCCTTTCTCCTGTGTTTACCACCATTTGTAGGGTATGGAGAACAGTAAGAGAAAAGTGATGGTCGGGGACAGGACTCCATGAGCAGGCTGTTTCCCAGTGGGAGTGCTTGTGATCTAGCATGGCTCTTGAGCTTCACTGGTCACTTATTTACTACCAAGCAGGAGCTTAATGCAAGGAAACAATGAACCTTTAAGTACAAGGAGATCTCCTCCCTCCAGGCTGGGTAGGATCACAGTGACCTTGGGCGGGGGTCACTGGTCAGCAAGTCAGACCCAGCAGCTCTGGGACATTTTGAAGCCCCAGTGGCTTCTAGTCAGTTCATAGGGTACCCAGAGCTGCCCAGCCTGGAGGAGCCTGCGCCCCATGCCCAGGACCCCCTAATGGGGGCGCTGCGTGAGTCTTCTACCTACCTTAGATTTCCCTAGATTCATACCTACCTTAGATTCATACTGTTGGCCATGCTTGAAATTGTTAATAAACGTCTTTTACTTTTGATGTAATATAGGTGTTTCTTAGCCAGGCTCTAAAATTCCTTCACTAATTTTCATTCTTTGTTATTGTAATTTACATTTTTAATTGTGGATGCCATTGTTTTACTTTAAACATATATGTTCTTGGATTCATCGTTAAATTTCTTTTAGTACTTTGAAGACAAAAACTCATTTTGTTCCGCTCAGGATAAGGGAAAATGATCATTTTTAAAAAGTTAATTGGTGGTCTCAGTATCTTTGCTTTTTTTAATGTATAATATTTATTTTCTTACAAGGGAAGGGGGGTGGAGGAGGGGGGGGAAAGAAATGTCAATAACCCCAGGGAAATAAATCAAAAGCAACTTTTACTTTTCGTTTTGTTAGAAAGCCAGATAAATATATATTTTTTTCCCGTTCAGGTCAGAAGCCCTTCCCTTGTCAAAAATGCGATGCCTTCTTTTCTACCAAATCTAACTGTGAACGCCACCAGTTGCGCAAACATGGAGTTACCAACTGTTCCCTGAGAAGAAACGGGCTTTTCCCCCAGTCCAAAGAGAGAGATGTTGGAGCTCATGATAGTACAGGTAGTGCCTCCAGGTTGTCAAGAGTGGAGAGAGAGAGAGAGACGAGGGCTATTCATGTGCGCTTGGCTAAGAGTTACAAAATTCTCTAACCTTCCAGGTTGTGGCGGGCTGGGTGTCCAACGTCTGTATCAGACTTAGAATGCAGGTCAGGACTGCCAAGACTTCACAGCAAGCTGACTCTAGCCAGGATCCCAGGGATTTGGAGCACAGCGCTAGTTCCCATCCCACCCCTTGTCTAAGCTATCAGGACCATCCTGCTGCTGTCCCGGCAGATGCCTTCGTGTGTAGTTGGGGCACTTCTGGGAGGTGGGGAGTCGGGGAAAGGCTTGGGGTTTTGGTTTTCGAATCCCAGCTTCTTCCCCATTGCGAAGAACAGGGATGGGCACCCACAGATCTCAGGGTATTGCCTTTCAGCATCTCGGAATCATGGTAGGTCCAGGACTGGCTTCCGCAGGCCTAGTGTTACTTATGGGGAAGGGTAGAGGGCTGTATTCTCTTCAATAACTGTCTCCCTCAGTATCAGACTGTTCGGGTATTTGAAAGAGCACGCTGCATGTCTTTTCTGGAGTCACATCTCTGCCTGGCCTGCACTGAGTATTACTTTGATATGCTGGTATGTGCTTCCTTCTTCCACCCCCTGCAGAGCAATTAACAGCTGCCCAGACTTCTGTCACCTTTTTTCTCCTTACAACTTCTGTACCTCCTCACGTCCTTCTCCCAGTACACTCCATCATCTCCAGCTGCTGGGGTTCTCCGTCCCCACCCAACCCCATAAAATAAAGCACAAGATAGCTGGCTGTAGGTTACACGTGTAGCCACACGACTCATTGGCTCTGGGTTAGTAACAGTACTAGCAGGCACTGGATTTGTTCGATTCACAAATCCAGAAAGGCTTTCTGTTTCCCCATTGCTTAGGAGCCTGGAGAGCCCCCTCAAAGCTGTGCTTTTCTAGGGTGCTGCTGTATCCTGTGGCTTGTTCTTTGGGCTGGGGTGAGGTAGGGTGGGGTGCTGTGTTGGTCTGGGAGGTGCCACCAGGTTGGGAGTCAATGTGTAGTAGAAGGTGTGAGGCATTAGTATGTGCCCTGTCTCACACTTGGAAGATGTAGCCCACATCCAGGCACCTTGTCTTTATCCTGGAGTAGGGGTCATCTGCATGGGTAGCGTTTCCAGGTCCCTGGTACGAGAGAGGAGCCTGGGTGCTGCAGTGGTTAAGCGCTTGCTGCTAACCTAAAGGTCAGCAGTTTGAACCCACCAGCCATTCCACAGGAGATGTGGCAGTCTGCTTCTGTAAGGATTTATAAAGCCTTGGAAACCTGTTGGGGGTAGTTCTAGTCGTCCTATAGGGTTTCTATGAATCAGAATCAATTTGATGGCAGAGAGTTTGGGTTTTTTGTTTTGTTTGTTTGGTTTTAGTGGGGTGTTTTTGTTTTTGTTTTTGTTTTTAGGAGAAGGAAGCATTGCTTTACCAGTGGGGAGCCACCTTCTTTGCCTTTTCCACACTCCTCCCAGCAAGCACTAGTAGAATAAATTCCCCGGTGCTATTGAGTTGACTGATCTTTCATTTAGATTTAGATCCTCTGTGGCTCTAATGGTGTAGTGCCTAAGGCATCTGACTGCTAACCAGAAGGCTGGCAGTTCAAACCCACCAGCCACTCCTTGGAAGGAAGATTGGACAATCTACTTCTGTAGAAATACTACCTTGGAAACCCAAGAAGGCGTTGCTATGAGTCAAATCGACTCAACGGCAGTGAGTTTGATTTTATTTTTTGTTTTGGTGGCTCTAAAGGGAGCCCTGGTGGTGCGATGGTTAAGTGTTTGGCTGTTAACCAAAAGGTCGGCAGTTTGAACCCACTAGACACTATGTGAGAGAAAGATGTGGCAGTCTGCTTCTATAAAGAATGCAGCCTTGGATGCCCTGCAGGGCACTTCTGCCCTGTCCTGTAGGGTCAGTATGAGTCAGAATCAACTCGACAGCAACAGGTGTGGGTTTTTGGGTTATGGCTCTGAAACTGAGGGCAGTAGTGGCTCAGTGGTAGATTCTCACCTTTCATGCAGAGACCTAGTTCAGGTCCTAGCCAGTGCACCTCATATGCAACCACCACTAGTCTTACCGGTAGAAGCTTGTGTGCTGCTGTGATGCTGATCAGGTTCCAGTGGAGCTTCCAGACTAAGACCAGACTAGGAAGAAAGGCCTGGTGATCTACTTCAAAAAAGTCACTTGTTAAAAGCCCAGTAGGACACAGTGGTTTGATCTGCAGCTGATCATGGGGATGGTGCAGGAGGTCGCCGTGAGTCAGGGGCTGACTTGGAGGCAGCTAACAAGAACAAAGGTGTAAAATTATAGAAATTGTAGGCTGATTTGCTCTCGTGTCCCTTCCCCCCAGCCTCCATTCCACATACTTTCCGGGCATTCTTGAGTAAAGTATGTGGTGGATATGGATAGAGATCCTGCCCTAGTTCCCTGGGAGCCAGGAATTGTTGGGATCATCTACTGTCCCGCCCACAGGAAACCCACAGTGAGCTTCCGAACACCATCTGGGGAGTAGACGATCGATTAGTCACTGTTCATGTTTAACAGTCCAGTACGTTATCTGTTGACCAGTAGCACTTTTCTCACAGCATGGTTTAGAAAGCAGTGAAGCAGTTTACCCAGAGCACTTCTGAAAGTGGGAAAGCCACCAGTCACCAAAGTTTTGGGAGAGAGCATGGCTTCCCATGTTTGGAGGAATCTTAAAGGGTGAGAGCCATGTGTTGGATGCATATTTTGCATTTAACATTCTGATCAGACAAGGCACACAAAAACTCCTGCCCATGTCTACCTGAGCAGCTCTGTAGAACCCAGCAGACACAAAGTTAAATCGGAACTTGAAGTCTTGGCTTCACCACAGGACCAGGTTCTACACTGTGAGTGTATTCAGCTCTGCAGTTACAAGTTGGTATTTCTCCGAATCCAGTGTTCCACCCTTCCCTGGAAGTCATATAGGTTTTCTTTAAGGGACAGAACTTCTGGAAAAGAAAATTCACTAAAAGTTGTAATGTGAAACTAGCCGAGAGAAAATATATGTTTGGTTCAACTGTGGTAACAATTTGTGGTAAGACAGGCCTGAGGTTTCAGAGGGAGAGAGGGGTCAGAGAGGCAGCTTTAAAGGGATTTCAGGGAGGGTTTTCAAGCCAGGTGAGCAAGATGGAAGGTGGAGCCTTTGTAGGGACTGCTTCTCTGGAAGTTAAAAGGGAGGCTTTGGGGGAAGACCAGGAAAGGCAGGAAATGACCTTCTTGGCAGGGTTTTCTAGGTTTATTTGTCTTGATTATATTTTCTCAAAATCACAAAACATATTTTGTATAGTGGGAGTCTGCCTTTTTCAATCGTATGAAGTCCTCCACAAGTCTGGACTCTAGATTTTCCCCCTAAGAAATGCTAAAAACACTGCACTGGGGGGAATTCCAGTTAGTGGGATATACCAGATATTCAGAGTTAAACTGGAACTTAAAATTCCTCTCATGTAGGCGGAGAGTGCACTCCTTTTTAGCAACGTTGTGGGGCAATGGGCCCCCCTGCATTTGGACTTCTAGAATCGATATAAAGGCTTTGAACGCTCTGTCCCTCTACTAGCCTCAGGGTCCCATCGCCAGCACCGATGGCACTGCAGGAAATGCTTCCAGCCCTGGCCCTGGAGTGCGTTGAAGCACAGGCAGAGTGACCCTCTTCAGCGGGCTGCCATCGCCCAATCAGATCAATGGTTTTGATTGCTAGTTTGTTGAGTTGATTTCTAGGAAGCAGTAGGTCTTCTGTTGGGGTGATTGGGAACATACCCATTTCCCTGTAGGAGCAACTGCAGGTTGTTAGTAACTAGGCTGTCTGGGTGTGTGCTGAGGGAGGAGACCAAAATAGGATCTGGCCTGACTTGTAGGATACTCCTGATAAGTCAAGAGGTTGGGTCTATTGTTCAGGACAATTCAGGAATCTGTTGGAGTTGCCTGCAAATGTGAAGGGCAAGGGTTACTCTGCTCAAATACTCCCCCTAGTGGAAGTTGGGCAGAATGTAATGAAGCTGCCTTTTGTTTCCCAGAGGAAGTAAGGATAACACTCCATTTTCCTCGCAAGGCTGAGTTGAAGTAGTCTTTGGTGACTCCTTATTCCTCCTCGGAGGAACTCTGGTAGCATAGTGCCTAAGGCACTTGACTGCTAACCAGAAGGATGGCGGTTCAAACCCACCAGCCACTCCTCAGAAGGAAGGTTGGGCAATCTACTTCAGTAGTGATACTGCCTCGGAAACCCAAGGAGGGGTCACTGTGAATCGGGGCCAACTCAATGGCACATGACAACAACAACATACCTCCTCGGAAACCCAAGGAAGGATCGCTATGAGTTGGAATCGAGTCAGCGGCAGTGAGTTTGGTGTTTTTTTTGTTTTGGTAAGAAAAATTAATAATATGGAGACAAAGCAGAAGGAACCAGAAATTAACCCTTCTTGTTTTTTTCTTTTTTAATGTTACTGCCCGCAAAGTCAACACATAAGAAACTGAGCATTCTGTGTCTTTTAATTGTAAGACTTTATACCAAAATCCATTCATTCAATAGATGCTCTCTATTGAATTGATTCAAGAAAACATCGTGTTTTTCTTTGGAACATGCCTTAGACATTGGTATGTATATCTCAAGATTCCTACTCTCTAAGCTTTTGAATAATTTCCAAAAATCATTTCTTTTGAGAAATTTTACATTGACACTACAGTTACTTGTTTCCTTTTGAGGCCTCTCAAGATACCCAAACAGTGACTCCCAAAAGATGCAATCAGAATAAAGACATATTAGAAGAAATAAAATATATGGATGTGCTGTGCAAATGGCTTTGGGTAAACCCGGCAAGAACCCACACAGGTGTGAGGAGTATCTGTTGGTTTCTTCAGACCATGGGGGCATGGAACTAACTCCTTCATCCCGCCCTGTGACCCACTTGATGAACAAGTGTGGGAAACTGAGGAAGAGCAATAGACATAGGTTGACACTTCAGTCCATCTAGTTGCAAAAAGCAAGATCCAGTTTAGATGCAGTGATCTTTTGCTGGCTGAGAGCTGTAATAGCAGATCTGAGATATTGAGAGATGTGTGTCTGATGTTTGTGCCAGGAAACAAAGCACTGAGTCAGCCTGATTATCGACAGAATTAACTGGCCAGGGTCTATAGCTAAAGAGCAGGTGCCAACAAGGTTCTACTTCACAGTCATAGAACAGGATCTGGGAAAGGCATTAAATTCTCATTCAACCTGAATAAGAAGGAAAGTGTGCTTCTGACCATATTGTCACTTGTTTGGTTGGCTCATGTTGCCACACTGGGGTAGAGTACCCATGTTCAGTTTTGCTTTGTAAAGTGGACAGATAGACATAGTCAAGGGTCATGAATCAAAGTTGCAAGAGCTCGACCTCCCCAGAATCCATCATCTCCCCACACCCTGTACACATTCCACAGCCTCCTTCCCTTCTCATCCCCTCACATCCTGGGTGCTCTGACCATCCTCCTGGCATAAATAAGGGACCCTTCTCTTTTACGTGTTTCTACTCCCCATCTGGGACACTAACCATAGCCAGGAAGGCACAGTGTGCATGTGTATCCTTTTGCTGCTGAGTTCTCTACCTGGAGATTAGGCAAGTGTGTATATGTACCATATCCACAGGAGAGACATGCTTTGGGTCATTTACTATGAAATTCCCATGCGGCACTGTATTTTGGAGTACTGGGCGGGAGGTCCTGTGTATGTTGCATGTTTGAATAATCTCTTTGCACTGGAAAAATAACTTTTACAACTCAGCTTCCTCCACCTCCCTAGTGCTGTGAGTCTCTGGACTGTACCCAACTCTGCTCTCTCCAAGTTCCCTTCTCTGTACTGCCCTGGGTCACTCACCTTCTCAGGCAGTGGGTGTCATGGTAGGCATCTCATTGATGGGGGGGCAGGACTTCTGAGGCACAGTCAGCCCTGCACAGCCAGCCTGTGTATATATATATATATATATACAAGTGGAAGTTATGTGTGCCTTCCTTACATCTCCCAGATTGACCTTGACCCTCCACAGGGTGGAAGGGTCACGTGATGAGAATCCAGGGCAAGACAGATCCTTGCTGGGTTTAGGGTATGGGCTGCTGGGGGTGTAGTTCAGCTGTAAAGGGGCTTTTTTTGGTAGTGTCCCATCTCAGGCCCTTCTCCCTCTGTGCTTGCTCACAGATAGCCAGTCAGACGCCGAGACGTCGACAGCAGGAAATGAGGTGCTAGACCTGACCTCACGGGAGAAGGAGCAGCGGGCACCAGAAGAGGCCCCTGAGCCTGGCCGGCTTGAAGCAGGAGCCCCTTCACAGGAGGACAGGGGAGGGGCAGCCTCCCCTGCAAGTGGCGAAGAGAAGGGAGAGGAGGAGGATGGGGAGCGAGAGGAGGAGACACATGCTGGGGAGGAGAGGGATGAGGACGCCGAGGGCCTGGAGGAGGACGCCGTCAGCAACAAAAGCCTTGACCTCAACTTTGCCAGCAAGCTGATGGACTTCAAGCTGGCTGAGGGCACCACAGGTGGCAGGGGCTCTCCCCAGCAGGAACTGAAGCACGCCTGTGATGTCTGTGGAAAAAATTTCAAGTTCCTGGGGACCCTGAGCCGCCACAAGAAGGCCCACAGCCGCGAGGAGCAGAAGGAGGAGGGCAGGCGTGGAGGAACTGAGGGACCACCACCCACCCCTGCAACCAGCCCTACCCCTGAGCCAGAGGAGGCACCTGCAGGCCTCCCAGCTGTGGAACCTGAGGCCGGGGAGGCCCTGGCAGAGAAGCCTCAGGAGGACGGGGAGGGTGTCTCCGAGGGGGAGGGCACAGCTGAAAAGAAGGCCTCAGAGAAGAGTGATGATGACAAGAAGCCAAAGACAGACTCCCCCAAGAGTGTGGCCAGCAAGGCCGACAAGAGGAAGAAGGTGTGCAGCGTGTGTAATAAGAGGTTCTGGTCTCTGCAGGACCTAACTCGGCACATGAGATCACACACAGGTAAGGGACCAGGACAAGCAGAGAGCGTCAGGGAACTCACGGGCCAGGCCTCCCACCACCGACACTAATGTGTGCACTCACTTCAGGGCACTAGGCACCAGCCTCAGGTTTGTCCAGCTCCTCACCCCAGTGAATGAAGTGTGTTTATTCCCAGGAGCCTAGCTCTCTGGCTCTGTCCCCTCTCTGACCCCCACAAGGAACCAGGCTCCGAGGATCCTCTGTGAGGAGTGGTGGAGACAAGGCCACAGAGAAAGAACGTACTTGGCAATAGCACATGTCCTTCCCGCCTGGGTAAGATAGGGCTTTCACCAGCTGTTCTCCAAGTTCTTGAGAACACACACAGTTCCCTGCAGGGGAGCCAGGTAAGTTCCACTAGCAGTGGTCTTGGGAGCATTATACATCAACTAGACCAGTGGCCCTCTGAGCCTCAGTCTCTCTGTGGAATAGGAAGGTTGCTGCCCCTGTTGTCTTACAAGTGGTTACCAAATTCTGTAGGCACTTTATGTGCTAGGCATTGGGACATGTGGTCTCATTTTGTTCTGAGCACAGCTCTGGGGTACAGTTTGGAATTTTGTAGCAGCAGAACCATATTCTTTGTGGCACCGCCCCGACCTCTGCTAGGAAGGCCTTGGTGTTGCCATCCATTAGCAGTTTGGTGCACAACTGCAGCATCCCAGGGACTTTTCTTCTTGACTTTGTTTCAGCCGGGTTGCCAAGACTACCAGGATCTTGTCTGGCTGCAAGGCATCCTGTCTGAGCATCAGCCTGTTCCTTCTGGAGCCCACCATCAAGGAAGTAGAGACCAGACCCAAAGCAGAGAGACCTTGATAGACCTCTGAAGCCACATGATACAAACATCCCACCTCTGCCCACAGAAACATCAGGCCCCCTGCACATGATGTCTCTTCTGTCCTCCCCACCACACACACATGGATGCATCCCTGCAGCACACACACTCATCTGTACACTCAGCCCCATGTTCACACAAACACTCACACTCACCCCTGTGCTATCACACACTCACCCCAGCCTGTGCACAGTCAGCCTGGCCCCGGCTGTGGCCTCTCGGGGGATTTGCAGGCGTGTGGTGTTTGGCTCTTGACAGAGGGATATTCTTGGGCTCCCGACAGGTGTTGCCCTCAGCTGCTCAGTGTGTTGAGCAGGAGGAAAACCACAGCTGCTCTGTGTCAGAGCTCAGGGCCACTGTCCTGCCGGCCCACGAGAGAGCCCTCCTGTCCCTTCCAGGCCCTGACCCAAGCTAGCCTGGACCCCCTAAAGCCTTCTGCTGTTACATCTTGGATCTGAATATAAAAATCAAAGGCTAGGAGACTACCAGAGGAGAGAACACATGCCCCTTTGATGCCTGGTCCCCAGGTTGCCAATGCAGACAGATCGGTAGGGGTTCCCCCAGTAAGTATGAATCCTAGGCCCCACCAGGTCCCCACTGCCCCTCAGCGCCCCTCAGCTCAGGCCTTCATCTGTTAGCCTTGGTGCTGCTCACGAAGAGCAGGGGACTGATGGTGGTGGGCTTATCGCTTATGGACACGGTTTCTTTGTTCTGTCACTGCAGGGGAAAGGCCGTACAAATGCCAGACCTGTGAGCGCACCTTCACACTGAAGCACAGCCTGGTCCGCCATCAGCGCATCCACCAGAAAGCCCGGCACCATGGGAAGGATGGCGACCAGGATGAGAAGGCTGAGGAGGACAGTGAGGACGAGTCCACTCACAGTGGCAACAACCCCATCTCAGAGAGTGAGGCAGAGCCCATGCTGACCACCAGCAACCACATGGCTGTCACGCGGAGCCGCAAGGAGAGCTTAGCCAATGCGGCCAAGGAAGCCAGTCGCAAGGAAGAGAAGGCAGCAGGTCGGACGGCTGCTATCTGCCAGGCTGACTCCAGCAAGAGTGTGCCCAAGGCTGCCCCCAAGGATCAGGTGTGTCAGGATACCACTGAGCAAGAGGGCCCGGCGGCTGCGGTGCAGGACCTGCTGGAGCTGCCCAGCAGAAGGCCAGCCCAGCCCATCCTGGCCGCCGCTGAGGGCTCTGCTCAGCTTCTGGGCATGGAATGACATGCATCCTGTCCCCCAGCACACAGACAGAGCCAGCAGAGCAAAGCACCCCAACTCTGCATTTCCCAAGGCTTCCTCAGTGCCCTTCAGCAGTCAGAGAGCATGAGGGCACATGTGCGCGAGCAAAGCAAGAGCGGGGGTGACCTGCCTCCGTGCCACCGCCTTGGGGCCTCACTAGCACCAGACGACACAGACTGAGCGAGTGCCTTAACTACTTTACTAGACCCTTCGGTATCATAGTTTTTGTTTTGTTTTTCCAAAACGACTTTAAAAAAAAAAGGCAAAGAAATCTTTTAATGAATTATTTGGAGAGGACTTTTCCATTTAAGCATTAATGTTACCTTTTGTATTGGTGTGTGAGAGCTTGTTCTTGTGAATCTGTGATAGAACTATTTGTTCTGTGAGCTGGAAGCGGAAGAAAAAAAATCCCCGTGGATACCCATAGCCATAACTGGAATAAAATTATGTGAATTTCATGTACATTACCAGAGGAACTATGGCTAAAATGCTGATTTCTCAAATAGACCTTTTTTTTTCCCCCTCCTTGCCCCTGTTTTATTTGCTACCTGGTAGAGCTGAATCTTATCTGTGGTGTTAACAGGCGAGGGTTGATGAAGGTTTCAGAGTTGGTTCAAGACAAAACGAGGAAAGATTCTAGCCTCTACCTCACACTGTTCCCACTCCTACAGCATTGGAGATGGTCTTACTGCTCACTCAAGATATTGATTCTTACCTTACAGAGAAGAGTTACCCTGGCAACATAACCTATGGAAATATTATGCACAGCTGTCATAGATTTTATTTTCCCCCCCTTTCAATATATGTATTATTATTATTATTGTTATTATTATATTATTATTTTTAACTCATCAGTCTGCGAGTCTCTGCAGTCAGCAGAAACAAATGGGCAATATTTGTCCTATGAGCCCGGTGTCACCACCGGGGCCCCGTGTATGTGTCTGGCCGTGGTGGGGCCAGCGCCCTTGTGGTAGCTCTTCTACTGTACTTAGACCAGCCTTTCTTCCATGACTGGAGAATCCACGGGAAATAGTGCGTGTCCTCCAGGACCAGTGGGGGAGCAGTTCAGAGAGGGAGATGGAGTGTGTCCCCCGAAAGTGCCTGGGGAGGAGCAGTCTGAGGAGTCAGGGCCTCCAGATCCATACATGGTGGACATGGGCCACCCAAGATGTCAGGCAGTGGTGAGCAAGGTCTTCTCAGTCTTCCTGTTAAACCCACCAGCCTTACGCCATTGTGTTACTGCCATTTGGAAAGCAAAGAACTACTACTGGAATAAAACTACACATGTGAGGTTAAGAAAAGAAATAGATGTGTAATTACCTTCCTGCAATTTAGGGTTGGTGCTTGAAGAGAAAACTTGCTGTTTCTAGTTTCTTAAATAGCCTGCCCAACTCCCTACCCACCCCCAGGTGCAAAAAAGGCAGGACTCCCCCCCTCCCCCATGAGCATCCTGTGCAGGCAATAGAATTCCCCCACTGCAGCCGCCAGCAGTGGAAAGAAATAGATCCTACTGTAGCTGAGCTTCTGTTCAGCATCTGCCCTCAGCGAGACCTCTGGGACTCCCAAGCCGTAGAGCTGCCCAGGGCTCCCTGTGCTGTCCGCCACTTGAACTCTCTTGCCTCACCCTGGGGGAGGCATCCCCAGCCCAGCGCCCCTTCCCCGGACCTTGCCTTGTGACCCCATGTGCTCCTTCTGTGCTTACACTTGTGCACACCAGTTTCTGGTGGCTGAAATCCAACCGCCCCATGACGGCAGTGGAAGATGTGTGCATACTCTTGAAAGAATGAAAAGTGATATTGTTGCATATGAAAGGAAGAAAGTTGAGGTATATATGACTTCTAACTGTATGAGGGATGTATGAACCAGTTTAAGAATGAGGTTTTATTGAGTCTAGATGAATGCAAATCAGAACCAATGATTCCTTGCCTAACTTTACCAAGTTTGGTCTACTTGTGAAAACCAGTTCATACAGCCCTTGTTTTTTTTTTTTTAATTACTATTGTTATTGTTATTTTTGTTATTATTTGGGTTTCTTGTGTTTTTGTTCTTCTTTTGCAACTCCCCACACTAAAACTAGCAATATTGTGAGGGAGAAGCCATGACTAAACTCTACGCTGCGGTGAGATGTAGCAGTAATCCGCTCCCAGCAACGTAGCCGGGACTGCAGCTCGCAATAATCACTATTGATTTAAAGCTTTATTTAGCCTCTATACCCTCGTAGTCAATAAGGTCTTGCCACATGTTATTAGTGAGGTTGAGAAATGTATTACTTGTTTGTTGTCCCCTCCTCCCCCAATATTAAACTGTGAAATTTGTGATTTGTTTAAACTCTGGGTGAATCATAGCTTAGTTTGCATGTCCAGCTAATTTGTTTCTATACATTTTGTTTGATTCTCTTTTTCCTTCTCTCAGGGCTTTTACAAAAAAAAATATATATATATGGATCTTCTGAAAAGTTTTTTGAGGTGCAAGTTTTTCTGTTTGTTTTTCTCGTTGATTAATGAACATAATGCTGAGACTCAATCACTACATTAAACACGTGACTGTGAAAGCAAAACAAAAAACCCTGAATGGCTGTTTTCCAGATCGCTCTGGGGAAGCTACACAACAGTCAGATGCCAGTTTCAGAAAGATTCATCATGTCTCCTGACCCTCTACTGGTCTCTCTCCTCTCCTCCCTTTCTTCAAGAAGGAAGTTAATCCTAGTGATTTCAGCCCATGCATTAAACAGGAAACAATAATAAGTGTGTAGAATTCATATTTTTCTAAAGGGAACTTAAAAACTGCTGCTACATGTTATGTGCAAAACTGGTTGATGCCACATGAACAGAGAATCACAAGTTTGGTTTTGGTACTTTTGTTCCTCTTCATGTTCAGTTGTATAGTACTTCCAAATTCAGAATGAAAAGAGAAGCTGTTCTGTATCAAACCATCTAAGCAATAAAATGTTATATTTTAAAAATTGCAGATTGCCAGTCATATGGCTGTTCTGTGATGTGCTGTAATCCTGTCATTTTGCCCCGATCCAGGCTTGCAGTTGACAGGTAATCTCTTTTACCTGCCGGCTGAGAGGTAATCTGTGTTGGCTATTACTAGGGGAATCGCTGGGCCTGTTTCCACCAGCACGGGCGGCTGGAGTGGCTCCATAACCAGGGGCGCCATCCTTAAATAGTGGGCCTCTTGTACTTGGCTGCAGTTGCAGGGACTGCCTTGGAAGAGAGTGTGGAAAGTTACCGAAATACATGACCGATGTCGGAGCTTTGGAACAAGAAACTTCACCCCAGCTTGCTGCACAGGGTTGGTCTCTTCCAAGGCCATCAGGGCAGGACCTGAGGGAATTGAGGGGTGGGTCACGGGTGACTCTCAGTCCATTTTTAGCAACAGCTGAAGCCTGGTGTTCTATCATCTGGGAAACAACTCCTAAGAAGTCTCCTATGCTTTGTCCTCCTCCCCAACCAGTTAGAAGGGATTGGGTTACCCTGGTGAAAAGAAAGCTCAGATCACCACACTTACCAGTTCAGGAGTGCTTAGTGGAGGTGGGGGCCTAACAAGGCAGTGGCCCCCAACACTGGCGGGGAGGAGAAGGGACAGCGGGGTGCCAAACCCCATGTTTACAGGAATCCATTCATTGTAAACCAGTGAATGGCAAAAGCTTTGTGTCCTCTTGTAGTGGTTCTCAAAGAGCAACACTGAAGGAAGTTGGTTTCCGGGCAGGGAGATAATACTTAAAATGTGATGACTCCACTATGCTTCCAAGAGCCAGGTTACAGCAAGGTGAGAGTGGTGGTCCCCTGAAGCCTTCCCAGGCTGCACCCTGCTCTGCGCTCAATTCCCACCACCCTTCCTCCCCAGCCCCAACTGGTTGCCACTGAGTCGACTCTGGCTCATCGTGACCCCATGTGTGTCTCATGGTAGAACTGTGCTCCATAGGGTTTTCGGTGGCTGATTTTTCAGAAGTAGATTGCCAGGCCTTTCTTCTGAGGAACCTGGGTAGACAAACTTAAGAACTTCTGGTTAGCAGCCAAGCATTCTAACCAATTACACCACTCAGGGATTCATTCCCCAACCCTAGGGACTGGTTTTGAGGAGATACCAATGAGGGTCTTGATGTATAACCAAGTAATTTAAAGATGCTGTCATTAAAGAAGCACCTCACAAGAAACCAGATCGCAAATAGCCCGTCAGTGACCAGTAATGTGACAGCCCCTACTTGGATGGTACCATTTTCCCTACTGGAACTTGTTACCTGATCACTGAAGAGCAAGGGACAGCTCCTTGTGAGTACAGTAACAGGAAAGACCCTCCACACTCCTTCCAGCCAACCTCGAAGTAGGCCAGGGTTACTGTGGGAGGTGTTTAAGCAATGAAAGACTGAATTAGTATTAAAAACAAAAAAAAAAAATGTTGCTTGTTACATGTAACAAGTCTCATGTGGCACCAGTGTGGTCTTTCTAGAATGTTCCCTGGCCCACTGCCAGTGCACATCTCGCTGCCGTGTGGTGGACTCAGAGGAGCCATAGATGCATGAGCTGCACCATGAGCACAGTTCTCTGTAGACTCACCTCAAGGGCATCTCATCCCTCAGCCCAGACAGACTCATGCTTTCCAGCTCCCACCTAACAGGCCTCTTTGTGTTGGGCCCCATGCTGGCTGGGCCTGGGGGCAGAGTGGGGGTGGGAGGCAGGCGATGGGCAGGCCTTGGCCCCCCGCACAGATGATAAAGAAAGTCTAGCTCCTGGGTGGTGGTTCCAGTTGTCCTGGAAGAGGGAAGTTGTCACATGCAGAATAGACATTTTTTTTTTGCAAAATTTATTTTTAAGCTCCACTAGTTCTTTTCATATGAGGAGCATCATTAAAATTAATCCATTTATGATTGCACAACATGGTGAATGTAATTAACGCCACTGAGTTGTCTACTTGAAAATGATTAAGAAGGCAAATATTATATATGTATTTTATCACAATTAAATTTTAAAGGGAAA